GGACAATTTTTGTTGCAATATGTCAATTGATCTGAGGTACTGTCGTTAGCAATTGAAGTTGATGTCATGACCCAAACCTGCCTCTATAGGTTTAGCATCGTAACCGGGCAGCAATCCTTGGATTACCGAAGGCCTCTGAGCTGATTAACAAAATTAAGGGGCTAGCGGAAGCAAATACATAAATATAGTTGCCCATTGAGCTGTGCGGACTTATATGAAAACAGAATATTTAAAACTTTATATATGTATCCAATAGTCATTCATACATTATACCCACACACAAAATAGCATCTTAAGTACAGCCAACAAAAATAACAAGGTCTGATATATATAAGCAACTAGAACTCATAACATGTGACACTTCTAGAACCTCCACGTGAGGCACGATGGCTGGCTGATGACAGAACACAGATCCAGATAAAGCTTTCAGGCCTGATCTCCAGAATGCTCACTTATACATATATATACACACAGTGAGCTATAGCCCAGCGAATAACATTAAGGTATAAGAGTTAGTGAACAAATTCCGAACATGCCATAAGCGTAAAATAGATCATAACATAATCATTCTCATATCTGAACATAATAATGGTACATCCCATAGAGCACATCACATATCGTCTTCCGACTAGAGTAATCAGTTCCGGATACCGATTAAACACATATCACCACAATGAAGTGGCTAACGAGATCTCCTATCACATATATGTCATGGACCCGCATTTACATGCCGTTCCCCATGACTTGGGACTAGCTGCGGATGCCATAATAGATTCACAAATAGGACATTCATTCACATAAGCAGATATCATTTCAGAAATTGTAACTTATCATATTTCATTTGGAACATAATTCATATGAACGTATCTTTACAATAACGTTACTCACAGTGGTTGCCGTAAACGGTTAATCAGTCTTCGAGTCTTGACCTACAACCACAAAGTACATAACACAAAGATATTTATCATTACACATGTACTTGGCCATCATGGCTTAGTTCTCATTACATGGTTTCGTGCTTAACGCATTGTTCAAAACACACTCTTGTAATCTCTTAACTTAGTACATTCCTTTCTTAGTGTGTTTCTAATTCATAGCCTCATTAATATGGCTTAAATAAGGCTTAAGAATGCCTAAGATGCAATGAGGATGCCGAAATATGAGTTGAACCACTTGGTAAAATTTCTGAAAAAAAGGTCCCCGCTCGAGCGTAGCTTTCCTTGCTTGAGCGGACATGCAACATGAGAAGGGTCGCTCGAGCGCGACTTCCTTCGCTCGAGCGATCTGTAAACTTGGAAAAAGTACTAGTTGGCCTCAATCTACGCTTGAGCCACAACTCCTACGCTCGAGCGGATCAACAATACACAAAGGGGTTCGCTCGAGCGTCCAAATGGTCACTCGAGCGAGGTGCTCATGCCTGCAAAAATACTGAGAGCTCGCATTCTCCGCTCGAGCGCAGGTCTCCTCGCTTGAGCGGACTGTGAAATTCTGGATTTCCAAAAACAGAGTTTTGAACTTCAAAATGCAATTTCAATGGCTACACTCATGCGTAGCTTGACCAAAACACTTGGAAAACTTTTCTAAAACACAAATATATGATCATTTACAAACCTTTAGCTCAAGACTCATGGATTTAGCAAATTTGAACTCAAAAGCTCATGCACAAAAGATTTTCAAACTATCTTCTTGATTTTTTCAAAACATGCAAATGGTTGATAGAATCCATGAATTTCCAAAACATTATGCAAGATATGAACTCACATGCTTGCAATGACTTCAAAACTCTGACTCAAAATGATGGAACCAAAGGTTAATCTCCAAGTATGCACATGCAAGTCATCTACAAGCCCAAAGACCCACTTCTCTTGCTAATTTCATAAAATTGGTTCAAAGATGTATTGAAGTCATGATGCATGGAAGTTGGCTGCAGAAAATATGCTCAAGACTCTTACCTAGAGCTTTGATTTCAGAAATGTAAGATGAATCTCCCTAGTTTTCTTCCTTCCCATCAAACTCTTTTGCTCTCTCTTTCTCTCTAGCCAAACTCTCTCAACACAAGGGACCAAATGAGTAAAAAGGGATGATATAACACTCCCTCACTCAGCTGAATATACACATACACACTTCTCCTCAAAATGTCCACGTGGTTATGCATGCAAGGCTCCAACGCACACAAAGGTTGTGATCCCCTACACTCAACATCACCAAGGCCTTAGCACACAATACTCTTAATCACATCTTGGATCATTAATAGGATTAGATTAGGTGCCAATCATGCATCATTTAAATCAAACACAAGTAACCTTAATTTATCCAGGTTAGCTCAAAATTCAATTAATCCAAAATAGTTCCCATCAAGGCTCAATTTAATCACATGCGATTCTTACTGAACTAAATCAATTTTTTTAATAAAAAGTGCCAAATGATTCTATAAATTCCAAATGACACATCCATGTAATCAATTCAGGTTTCGGACACCGGTAAGGCTTTCTATTTTCAGATTAATACAGAATTCACAATAGATAGAAAATCAAATGGCATGCAAAATTACACAATTAACATATAATTATTTTTAATCACTTGATTAACGTCCTTAATCACAGTTTAGTAACTAATTACGGATCGAGGTTGTTACAGTTGACATTTACAAAAATATGAAACCAATTTTTAATAATTTAGACAACCTACTCTTCTTCAGAACAAAACTTGATTCCTTTATTGGTAGCTTAAGTTCTATGTTTATTCGCAAAAAAGGGTTTTTCAGAAATTGAACTAAAACATACATTCAAAGACTCGTAGAAATTGAACTGAAAAAGGTGATTTAAATCTTGTATTTAGATAAAGGTTTTTTAGAAATTGAATTGAAGCATACATTCAAACCTTGATCTAAATAGAAGATCTAAATCGCCTTTTTTTTTAAACAAGAAATTGATTCGCAACTTAAGTTCCTAATTTTCACAACACAAAGACTCTATTTGGATCTTGTATTTGTATGTCAAGGTAAAGAAAACTACAAGGCAAGTGAAATTACTTGAATTTTTTTTAAAACAATATATATATATATATATTTAATAAATATCTACTGATTTTTATCTCAATTTTCTAACCCGTTGTAAAAGAGGAAAAAGAATACAGATTCCTTCACTTCATTTTCTTTTCCCTTTCTATTTCTACAAAGGACTTAAAAACCAATGATTAAGAATATAAAATCACATGACCTACCCTCAAACAATTCATCCAATGAGAAACATGTACCAAGTAACCTTTAACATTTTACACCCAACTTCCTCATCCTTCTAATCTCAATAGGACAATAACGGCCACCACTAAAATGCAAAGTCACAAACAATACTCAATTCATGATGTGAAAACCATCACATATGCAATTTTAAAAATTCAAACCCCACAGCATACTTGCCCAAACATCTACAATAACAAAAAAACTTTTGAGTAAAATAAGCAGTATAATTGATTATATTGTCGAATTCAATAACCAAGTTTTGGCAAACAAATATCATAAAAAATCTAATTACCTTCATTATTATGAAGACTCAATGTTCATAAAATGTTTGGAAAGTAAGCATTTTAGCCAAAAAAAATCTAACAAAGAAAGCACAAGGCATTGCCCAACCAACAAAATTAAACCATACAAATACAAGCAACAAATGACAACCAATCAAACCCTAATGCTTACTTCCCAAACACCTAACAAAGAAAGCACAAGGCATTGCACTGAAAAGGGCAATTTAGATCTTGCATTTAGATCAAGGTTTTTCAGAAATTGAACTGAAACATACATTCAAACCCTTCAACAATATAAATTATATGTTTATGGCATACAATATAAATGCTGTTACAAATTATATTTTCTTTTTTCAATTTGTGATAGATTCTACAACGATAGATTTCAATTTTTTTTTTCTATAACAGATTTCTGCAACAAATTATAAATTATAAATTCTATAACAACAACAATAGATTTCAATTTTCTTTTTTTTTTCCCTTAAAAAAAACCCTAATTCAAGAAACCAGAAAAAAAGGGCGATTTAGATCAAGTTTTGTCCCAAATTGAACGGAAACATACATTGAAACCCTTACACACATACACATACATATAAGCCCTAACGCTATGTCAATTTGTAGTTATATACCTGTAGGTTGGAGTCACTGGCTCGGGTCGGAGACAGAGAATCAGGTTGGTCGGAGAAAGAGAGAGTCAAGAGAAGACAGATCAGATGAGAGAGTCGAGAGAAGACAGATCAGGCGAGAGACTTGATCGTCGGAGATAGAGACTCGAATTGATCGTCGGATGAAGGGAGGCTCGGTCGGTGAGAGCCTTGATCGTCGCTGGGTTGGAGAGTTACGCTCATCGAAGAGCTCTAGGTCAAAGACAGAGATATGCAATGGCGAATAGAGCAAGAGAGAGAAAAGAGAAGGAAAGAATGAATGAGCAAATAAAGAGAGAGTGTGTGAAAAGTCAGAATATTGAAAACTCGCAAAATGATTTTGAAATTTGAAATGAATGAGAAAGAGAGAGAAAATGACGAGTTAGCCACAGTGGCCAATAGTGGTTGCCACGCTGGCGCCATGTCATTAGAACCATTTTAGAATTTCTACTTTAGTGGTCCAAAACATTATTGTTCAAATTAATTATCGTTGTATTACCGAACATACCCATCACAAATTAAAAAATTATTGTTTGAAAGAAAGTGTCTCTATAAATGTACAGCAACAAAATACTGGAGAGATCTATTTTTTCCAGCATCATAACACCGGAATAATCTAAATTGTTTAGCACCGTGTTATCAAAATTAGTGGCGTAAAGAGATGAAATAGTTAATTTGGGGTTAGTTTTGGTAATATATTGAGGGTATAATGAGAATTACATTTTTTTTAGTGATGTAATGAGATGGAAGATATAAAGAGGTTAAATAATGGTGTCGGTAGAATCACCCTTTTAACAATATAATTTAAATGAAATTACTAAATTACCCTTAATAAAATTAATTAATGTCATCATCACTCTGAAATTGCATCATCGCCTAGTGTTTGTTTGCAACCATGGAGGCTTCCACGTTCTTCAGAACCCTAAAACCTTTCAATTTTAAGCTCACTTCATCTATTCGATCCTCTTCCTTCTCTCCCACTCTTCACCCAGGTATTTTCCCCTCGTAATTTGCATAATTTTCTCTTTCTTTTCCTTTTCCGTCACTTTCTCAGCTTCCAAACAGCACTATTTACGTTTCCCCCCTTTCTCAGGGAGGTTGGTTAAGAGAGCCTATGATGCATTGTTGTTGGACGCTGGTGGCACTCTTTTGCAATTGCCGAAACCTGTCGAAGAGACTTACGCATCAATCGGCAGAAAATACGGTTAGCTTCACAGAGTTGTTGCTTTGATTCATGGAAATTTTAACTCAATGTTGTTTAAAGCTATGGATTTAAATCAGTTGTGAATTCTGATGCATTTGGAAATCGTTAGCTTTGATTTCTCATGTGGAAGATGAAATTGATTTACTGTCCATCTATTTTCTTGGGACTTAGGCAGAGTTATACATAAATGCAATTCAACAAAACCCTTTTTAATTTTAATTTTTGTTTGTTTAGTGTTTTTCTTTGGTCTTGTTAAAATTGCTCAATGTTGCTGTTCTTTGTGAGATTCTGTTTTTTCTTTGTGCTTTTTTGGTAATTGATTTGTTTGGGTCCTGAGTTTGGCATCTTGAAACAGGTTTGAGTGTGAAATCAACTGAAATAAAGCAAGGATTTAAAAGAGCTTTCGCTGCTCCGTGGCCTGAAAAACTTCGCTACCAGGTCAGTCCATATAATTGGTGTGATGCCTAGAATATTCTCGTCTTTCTTCTCTACAAATTTCTGTGATTTTAAGCCTTTTCAAGAGTACAATGAGTTTGAACTTTGTTCTTTTTTTACCCTTAACCTTTCATTGTTCAAGCCTAAACTAGCCCTCATTCATATATGCAACAATAGTACATCAAAACTCAAAATTTGCAAAGTTATTGTTCTCAGGTAATGTTCACAATCACAGCACCCAAAATAATCCCTAAACAGTGCCAAAAATTGCATCATTTCGTGCTTAAAAACCCTTACTTCTCTATTACTCCTTACAAATCCTTAAACCCAATTCTGGGTTTACTACTTGTACGAGAGTGTTCGCCACATTCATCCTACATCAGTTTATTTCAATGCATTGAGAGATTTCCATGATGCAATCAGTGAGGCATTTATCACTGATAATAATTGCAGCATGCTATTGAGATATTTACATTAGAAGATGAAGGCACCCAGATCATTGGAAATTTACCCCTCCTAAAGGATTTAAGAGTTTCAATGGGAGCCATTTTTCGTCTGTAAACTTCTGTTTTATTTGTTTACCTCTTTACAGAATTGTTTCTTAGGCCTCTATGTGATTAAGAAATTTTTAAGTTATGCTTTAAAAATGTCTTTCATTAATTTGTTGTAAAATTTTTCAAAGCCATGTTTTGAAAACATGACTTTCGTTGAGTATTCAAAATCTGTTTTTTTGTTTACAACCAACCTTGTTCTATGTGATCTTCTGTGCAGATGCTGAGATTTGTATAATGTAAATGTATATGTATATGTATCTTTAGTTAACCATTAAAGGCAATATTTTGTTATCTTGTGTAAGAAAAGTGATTCCTATGCAACTACTTGAATAAAGAATCAAAACTCCTTCAGCACATAAAAAAGATGAAACTCATACTATCTTCTTTTCTTCTTCTTTTTTTGGTTTACAACATAATTGACATACATACATTCTGTACTGTTGGTAGGGAGATGGAAAGCCATTTTGGAAACTTCTTGTTTCTGAAGCCACAGGTTGTGAAGATGATGATTATTTTGAAGAAGTATATGAGGTAATGCTGTAGTATGTTCAAAACATATCTTTGGCATACATTGTTTATCTAAGTGATGAGATTCAGAAGATTTATGGGAAAAAATTAATGATTCTAGCACTTAGAAGTCATAAAACTATTCCAACACATATTTTATATGGGACAACTTACTGTCTCAGTTATCAATGGTTGCTTGTATCAGTACTATGCAAAAGGTGATGCATGGCATCTTCCCCCTGGAGCCTATGAAACAATGTCAATCCTGAAAGATGCTGGAGGTTATATTCATCAAGTCTTTCCTTTATCTATTATCCTTGTAATAAACTCGAAGGTTTGAAATTGAATGCTTGTAGTATCTTCTTTTCCTTTGTTTCTAAACTACTGAATTGTGGAACAGTTAAATTGGCTGTTGTATCCAACTTTGACACACGATTGAGGAAGGTGTTAAAGGAACTCAATGTTGTCGATCTGTAAGCATTGAAGCTCTATTCTGTTCATAGTCTATTACTTTCATTCGTTGTGTAAGCTAATAGTGGTATTGCAATAATCATGACTTCAGTCTTGAAGAATAGCATTCTGAATTTTTTCGTATACTATTTTGGGCTAGTGAGGCACTAAATGTTGATCTGTGTCTCTTCCCCACATAAACTCTTTCCAATCTTTCTTCTCCTTTTTAGTAAGGCACTAAATGCTGGCAATGGACCATATTTTCTTATTACTTTATTTTCTTAATCCATTAGAAATTATAGCAGTGTGCTTGCAGCTAGGTATTGATAGTGGCATGCAACAAAGGACACTGATTTATGTTATGAATTAAAGTATCTTTTATTGATTTTATTATTATTATTATTATTCTCATTTTAGGTTTGATGCTGTGGTTATATCTTCAGAGGTTGGATATGAAAAACCAGATGCACAAATATTTAAAGCTGCTTTAGGTACGTATTCAAGTACCTAGTTTCTTTTTCTTAAATCGTGGACAGTGCTTTTGATTTTTCCTGCAAAGTTTGCCTTGGATTTCCATTATAGTAGCGAGCTTGATGCCAACTTTGCGTGTCGTTTCTTCTCTGCTTGAGGATTGGTTTTATAGTTTTGCACTCTTTAATCATGCACTGCTATGGGTTTGTGTTGGATTGGATGAAGCATGCATACTGCATAAATATAGTGATATAGCATTTCTCACGGCCGATGCTAATGGTGATAACAATGCAACGTTTCTAATGGTTGGCAATGTTGCAGATCAGACCAATATAGAAGCTAGAAAAGCAGTACATGTTGGAGATGATGACAAGGCTGACAAGGCAGGTGCCAATGCAATTGGTATTGATTGCTGGTAAGTTTTTAAGTGTGAACGTTGGATCACTTTTCCTCTATGTATTGACACAATCGATGGCCTTTTTTATGACACAAAGGAGACATGTATGTTGCTCCAACAGAGCCCCCTTTATAGCTATTGTTCGTCCTTACACAATCACCATTCTTAAGTGTGTACCAAATTTACGGTGTATAGAATTTTCAATGAATGTTGGAGTCAATTGAATGAGTGATCTTATTTTGTTAATGGTATGATACTTACCATGAATCTGAATAAGCAGGTTATGGGGAAAAGATGTTAAGACTTTCTCAGATATACAAAGCCGCATCCTAATTCCGGGGCCATAGCTTTCAAGTACATAAGTTTCACTCCCCGTATCATTGTTGGTGGTTGAAGCTGTTGCTTTGCCCTATTCCTCTGGTCCTCAATTTCAGTCTCTATTAGATTTGTATCGATAAGTTTTCATCTCATGGAAATTTTTGAGTCCACAATTGCTTTGGCAAAATACTGGCCTAACTTGTTTATGTGATTTGTGTTGGCAGGATTGAGTGTTGATGGGAGAAAATAATTATTGTCATTGATTGGATAACCAGTGAAGTTTCAGTGACTATTTTGAATATGGGATTTTTTTTCACCCTTTGCACTCAGTTTTCAATTATGCTACTGAGAATGGATTAAAATATACTCCAAGAAATATACAGCCAGACCTTTGTGGATTAAAATGTCCAAATAACTTGGTGACAAGTACATAAAAGTTTCTCTGTTTCTCATTTACTTGGTCATATGTTCAATAATGTTACATCATATGATTGTCTAAATATCAAATTTAGCTACCATCTACTCATGATCATCATAATTTTCCAGTAAATTTTGATGAAAACTAGCTCCTTCAACTGGTTTGGAGAAGAATCAGTTTGATTGGATATCAAAATATAACGAGATGTGTTATTATATTTGATTCAGTGAGTAATGTCTTATGAAGAGCTATTGTTTGTTTTGTACTTTCCTATGAATGTAAGGCTGAATTATAATTGATTTTGATATATTTCACTTGTTTGTTTTGATCATTGTGTTTATAAGCCGTGGATATCTCTTTATTTTGGATTTATATGCCAATCATCTCAAAAACTTAAAATGTCAAGAAATGAGCCAAACAATGTATAATAAGGCGAATCTCTTTTATATGTAATCTTGTCTCATATGCAAACAGATGAATAAATTAAATGAATGAATAAGGTACACGAACACAAACCGAACATAATTTACAATAACTAAAATCTCAGAATGAGAAGACCTGAAAATCAAGATTTCATGTAATGTGACTCTACTCTAATACCAAGTTACATCACTAATAGTCTCAAAAATTTGAACTTCCTTAACAGGGACAGATGGCTCTTAGACAGAAGTGATGAACTGGCTTTGTTAACTTCTTTTGTACATTTGTGTGTAAATATGGACAAGAAAATGAGCTATTGTTTGCTTCAATTATGCAGATGTAGAATTGATAGTGTTGTCTCCTCTGAAAACTACATATGTTTACAGATTCTCTGTCCCTTCTCTCTTATCCTTTGTATTTGTTTTTGACCACACGACGAGTCTATTTACCTTAATCGTGTGGTATAGAGAATGAATTTAAGACTGAGGACAGGGAAGGAACAAACGATCCTTTTCCTACTCTTTATAGTCCAACAATCTACCTGTTCCCGAATAAGAGCTTTAAAAATATAGCTTAATTTTCACCAAATACCTAGTTTCAAATTCGAAGATAAAAAGCTGAGCAAAAAGAAAAAAGGGAAAAACATTTAAATTTCATTAATTTTTTTTTCTTGACGTACATAATTAAAAACAAAATATGTTTTTTTAACTATAACAATGCTATGTACTCAAAAAAATTTACTTTGAGAAGTGTTTATAGTTTGAATGTGCGAACCAAATTCATTTGAGTGTGACTCACGGTGATGGCTCGAGAAATTCTTCATGGGGCATTCTTTTTAGAGACACCTCAAAATACGTTGGTGCTTATGATGCAAAAATTAACCAGAAACACATCATCATTTGGTAATGGGGATAATAAGGCTAGGTTAGTGAGAAATAAGAGCTGATCTATTTTATTTGTAATTTTTATTACATCACCTAAGATGGTGTTACCATTGAACACCTTCATGATACTGCTCTAATAATTTACACCACACTAAGTATAAGTCTACATCATAAATTTAAATTCTTGTTATTTTCCTTTTAGCTACCCTACAACAGCTGGACTGAGCCTGCCAAAATATCATGATGGCATGTCTCAATTTAAAGCACAATAGATGTCAAAATCAAGATTCAAAAGAAGTTTTGGTGATGAAGCCAAACAAGTCCTGCTCATGGATTGGTTGATGTTAAGACTTTGAATAATATCATGAATTTATGTGACTCAATGCTGGGTCGCTTATGAGGCTAAGTCACTACTTTGAATTTAGGCACTTGGTGTCCAAGCATGTGATACCAATCAAAGCTATTTATTTATATGGGATGTGGACTCTTCTTGAAATTTCTTGGTAGCCAATTTAAATCAAATCATTGCCAAATCTAGTGTATATATGTAAATGATAATGACATGGACATCAACCATAACTTGTTAAGACCCACAGTACCTTAAAATTAAACTAAAACAAAGTTAAATACTAGATTAGGATTTAGTCCATCAATATTAGTAACAACTTTCATTTTGATAATTTTACCCCCCCCCCCCCAAAAAAAGTCATAATAAATAAACCAATGAGGAATGAGCCGACTCAAGGAACTTTAAAATAATAATAAAAAATAAATAAAAGTATTCCATATAAAAACTGTCAAAGTCCACCTGTGGATATTCAAAGTTCAAATCATATCACCATTACATGAGATAAATTTTCAACTATCGTACAATTTTTGTTTGATTGTCTTCATCTAATTTTTCTTTGAATATCTTTATCCAATTTTTTCTTTGATTGTTTCCATCCAGGGGGAATTGGAAAAGTCGACCTCCATAGTTGGTTCATATTCATAGTCTGATCCTATTTATTAAGTGACCATTCAATTATGAAAACCAAGCTGCTTTATTATATAAATCTATAAATTATTATATTCTTCCATATCTCTGTGTTGTTGTCTCTATCGTGGTTTGAGTAGCAATACCAGGAGATGTATTGATATTGATTACTATAAAAAATCAAGTGTTATGGTCGTAAAAAACAAAAGCATTTTATAGAATTTGACTTGTGATATAAAACAATATGTAAAAAAAATTGGTTGGCATGCATGTAGTTTTTTTTCTATTGCATACTAGAGTGTATCAGCATTAGAAGAACAAAAATTTGATAAATACAATACCCGTCGATATATATAATAATGGTTTGTAATAATAAATTCATACAAAATTATGTGTCTCATTCATATATAAATATATCACTAATTAACAAAACCAATAAAATCTCTTTCCCATTATTTTGATCCTTCAAACTAATTAATATCTCATTCACACTTTTCGCTTTTGTTTCATATATATATATATATATATATATTTTGATAGTTTTTGAGCTATATGACTAATTTCTCATGTACCCTTTTGGATTCTAATTCTAATATTTTGAAATTAAATTTTACGGTGACTATTAATTGAAAATGTCACTCTCTCTCATCAACTCACCCGTCCACGTGTTCTCCTTTTGTTGAAAAATTATCACATAGATCCGTCTCATATCTTACGTGTATGTCTTTATAATTCTATTAGTTACATGTCTATTATTTTTTTATTTTTTCTTCAATACATTATCTAAAACAATTAATAAAATTGAAAAGAAACACAACTTAATCAAAATTTCAGAAAAACAGAATAATTCCTCCCCACTCTCTCGTCAAAATCTAAAGTAGTATTAAAGCAGAATCAGAATTGCAAATTGAAAGTAATATAGTCAAAATAAGTGTCTTGCGGGTCAACTTTGTGTTGCTCTCAAAGACTGTAGATAATTGGAATCTTTGTTATGGTGGTGTCATATATTCCAATGTGAAAAAGACCTAACAATCCACTTAGCTAAATAGAATTAAAAAAAAATAAAAAAATAAAAAGAAAGAAAGAACTACAGACTTGACCACCCCTTCTTAAGGGTGGGCGCGGGTCGGTTGCAGCCATGGAACCTCCAATCCGCTATCCGTCCAACTTTGTGTTGCTCTCAAAGACTGTAGATAATTGGAATCTTTGTTATGGTGGTGTCATATATTCCAATGTGAAAAAGACCTAACAATCCACTTAGCTAAATAGAATTATAAAAAAATAAAAAAATAAAAAGAAAGTATATCCGTTGCTCACCCCTACCCCTTCTATATATGAGATCTGAAAAAATATTGTTAAAATGTGAGCGTTTTAGTCAACTAATTTTTGTGAAGAGAATTAATGTTTCATATGTATCTAAAAAATATTTGAGACTCACAATTTAAACTTTAAATTCACTCATTATGATGTGATAAGGGAATTGAATTCTATATGGTTGAATGTGTGACAAATTAAAAATTGACATTTATCATACCACATCATCGTGGAAGCCTTTTTGGAAATGTCAAATATTTTCTTATTTTTTGTATCACCATTTAAGATATTCAGATGAGTTGAATTTTATATAGTTGAATGTGTGACAAATTAAAAATTGACATTTATCATACTACATCATTGTGGAAGCTTTTTTCGAGATGTCAAATTTATATTTTTATTTTTTATATCACTATTTAAGATATTCAGATATCTTGCTATATATAATAGTCCTCTTTAAATAATCTCTGTTGTCTGGGTATTTTTTTTTTTTTGGGGGGGGGGAGTTTTAGGAATAAAAACTATATTGCTAACTTTAATTGCCATTAAGAATTTGAATATATTGAGCCTGACTAAAAAATAAATAATTCTATAAAATATCTTATTAGAAGTATAATTTATCGTTAAAAAAAGTAAGGATGTCATCCCATGAATATCCAATTATAGATGGACACATGTATCTTAGTAAAAATTTTAGTGCAAATAATATTGCTTGGATTCTTAAATTCCAAACAAGTGACCAGCTTAGCCCAAAAAAAAAAATAATGGAAATTTTTAATTTTCTAGTACAATAACTACCAACATTCCAACAAATTTGCTTGAATGATTATCTATATGTATATCTCTAAATTAGATGGTAAGCCATCCTCATCAGTCAACACACCACCATGCATGGAGGTGTGACATGGCATGTGATTTCTCAACAATCACTATAATGACCTAATTCATGGCCCATTAATGGCTTTTGGTTCACATGGACACTACTACATGGCTTTTGGTTCCACCATCCAAATTCCATCTCTTTTATTTTATTGATTTATTAATTATTATTATTATTATTATTATTATAGGATGAGGTTGTTTAGTTTATGTTTTGAGATTCTCTCATAAAAATTGCCGGTTGTGAGTAAATTGAAATAAGAGAATAAAGAATTTTCATGTTTTTATAAATTTAAGGAAAGAACAAACTTGTAACCTCCAAACTCTCAATAATTTTCATTCTATCTATTTAAGCAACGGAGTTTCAAGTTTCTTCTGAAGGGGTGCATTTCTAGTCTACAATAATTTCTTGAACATTAAAGGTGCATTTTTAGTGTTAAATAATTTCATGACTATTTTTTTTGGAAATGCTTATTGAACTAGTTAAACCAATAAACAAATCAAGTCACTTACACTTGATTCGTATATAAATTATTAAAATTCATTTGAGATTTATTTGTTATGTAAGTAAGTTCAATTATAACATATTTTGAAACTCGTTAATTTTTTGAGTTTCACTCAATAAACTTATATGCATTATAAAATTTTATAAAAAAATTCAAGCTATATACTCGCAAATGACTTGACTAAAACTCATTTAATATTAATATATATAGTGTTTTTTTGAATCTTTGGAAGGCGGCCTCTTGCCCCTTCTTGATCTATATTTGGTTTTAGATCCTTCTATCTATATATATGTTTGAGAAAATGAAAATGAAAAAGAAAAAAATAGAAAA